CTTAGAACCGATACAACAATCGCGCCAACTATCATTACTACACACTGTAAGACATCAGTGAAGATGACAGCGGTCAAGCCACCTATGTCAMAAYATATAAAACCACGTGATATACTGGAAAAAAATCGCTGTACATTTGATGTAAATATGATGTAAGTGTCCAAAATGATGTAAATTTGATGTAAATGTTTTGCTCTCTCAGATTTTTCTTTTGTTCATTCAGATACTTTGAAATTATATCCATTAAATGATATTCAACCATAATTTGCAGTTAATGACAAATTAAAGTTTAAAAAATATCAACCCTATATATTGATATATGTATGTAAGTTAGTCGTCAATGGACAGTATAAAATTTTTCTTCGATAAAGTGAGATATGAAATATTACACATTACCCGTGAAAATAGAAGCTAGGATCGAAAGGATAAATTGGTACCGGTATTTACTCTATGTAATTTCCCGGCTTCCGTTTTTTTTCCTTSRTTTCCTTTCGTTTTCAGTTTCTATGTATTCTATTATTTGATACAATAGAGTTTTAAAGTAGACGTACCAAGTAAAGTGTAAATGGCGGTTATTGCTAGCACACAAGCTGCAGAGAGGTACATATTCCATCCTACGGCCTCGTATAGGAACAGACTTCCAGCATAGATATCAACCTAATTCAAAAGTTTCAAATCGTCAAATTCTTCGTCACCGGCAGCAGCCATCTTGGTAGTCCCCTTTTGTCGGGCTTCTTCACCGCAGGCTCAACTCCTACGTGTCTCGCTTTGATGCAAAGGCTGGGTTACCTTTCAAGATGGCGCTTAGAACTGTAAAATGGAGCATTGACTGATGCAACATGGACATGCTAAATGTTGTCGAGACTTACCGAGACTCTTGTAAATGTATAAGACGATAGAGCTGTAATTGTGAGATACGTCCTGACTGCTCGGCTTTGAAAACGTTTATCCAGGTACTCAGGCATGGTAAACACCTTACAATAACATAGAATTCAATATTAATAATACCCTGCAAAACCAGATTGGTGGGTCATCTCGGACAACACCRTTTGTGACRCAACATTTTGCCCTCTCTCAGTTTTTATGAAACATCAAAAATGTTGGATGGAGTTTGAAAACCCTAAAACATTGCCTCAAACATTTCTTTTGCGCTAAACATTTCTTTTGCTCTCTTTCAAATTCTTCCGTAATTTGCTATTGTGCCAGCAAGTGCGATTATGTTTGTGTGGATAAGCGAGCAGTCATTATGTGCTTGCATATTCTTTCTATTCTTCTTTTTGTCAAAATTGAAGAATTCGAGAAGGACCAGTCTTTTGCAGCTGCAAATGTTAAGAGCAGGAGCAGATGAGTATCCYGGCATTTGTTTGAGTATATATGAACTTTGGATGTTGATTTGAGTCTCATATTTGGATTCGTTGTGGGATAGACATCTAGAACCAGAAATGATACGTTTCTTTAATTTTTTTTTTACTCAAGAGTCTTTGCGCGCTCGTATCCAACACCACCTGTAGATGATAAAAATGACTTAGAAAGTAAACATCGCCATCAATTGCAAGACTCACCCTTGATCTTAAATAGATGGGCACAAAAACCCAGCCAAGCAGCAAAAGCACCCATACACCCTGAAGTAAATGAAATAAAATGGCTACAGTGATACTTATATTTTAAACTTCTCCGCATTGCGTGTAAAAATTGTATGTGGACATACTTAAGAAATGAACAGCTACACTCGACAATTTTCGACTGCCTCACCTCCCATTCGTACGATACCACAGCTATACCGTTAGCAGCACCAGATCCCGCTAAACCAATGAAGTTTCCACTGCTGATATTACTTGCAAAAAGACTGGGTCCAACCTTTAGAAAASAAGGTACTCAGGTATTATTATATTGTGCGCCACACTTCACAAGACGAAATTGTCCTTGATATAGATGCATTCGTGATGCATAGGAGTAATTTTTACAAAGGTCAGTAGCCCATCAAGCGTGAAACAAGGACGTTCCTTTTATGAGAGAGTCAGAGAAAATTAATTCCATTGGTGTTGATTGATAGCGTTTGGTAACCCTATATGGAGGTATAAAGTAAGTGCATATTTTGATATATCATCAGGCAATGTACTCACCGCCCAAARGAGCATTTTTCTGCCAGCAAGAAAATATCCCTCTGCTGTTTCAGCTTCTCCTCTTTGCTTCCTAAATTTTGACTGAAAAGACTGAAAACCTCAAACGATGCACAAGAGCTTGCAGGATTTTACTAGGTCTAATTTGGGAACTGCTCGACGAAATTTATACCCCTTTTTGGGTCTAATTTCGATTTCTTTGTTCCCACTACCAGTAAGGTCTCGACCAGCATTATCTTTTATTGCTTGAGTTCTGAATCATTTARCGACCAGGCCAGGACATTTTCATGATGTTTTGCGCACCCTAAACTCGGGTTAATCTTGTCTCCCTTGCATCTTCTTAAGGGTCATGGCGTTCAATGTACTTTTCTCCCTTGACGTAACGTGACACTGATAACGGCTGCGAGTTATGCATGATCAAAATGATGGTCCTTTTGTTTCCTTAAAACTACAACTCGTGTTTAAATTCGTTTTAATGAAGTTCGCGCGCTGGTATTTGAAAGTAATTAAGATTTTTAATCGCGGATAGGATAGCATACACACAATGTACAGACACGCGAATAAAATGTCGATAGAGTCTGAAAATCATTGTCAAAGGGTCAAGGGTATGTCCCACGCATTCGAAATCATGGAATTTCGAAGTTGATATTAAAGGCTAGGTCTTGGCTTTCTCGAATCTTGCTAGCTATGTTGATTAGAGGCGAGAGAGCTTTAACTTAAAAATGTTATTTAGAGTTCATCTACAGCTCATCAAAAGATATATACATAGATGCCACTTGAACTTCCAAGATACTAAGTTACTATTTTTCCTATTAAAATCGGTCTATAACACTGATTTTGGCGTGAAAAATCTTTGGATTAATAAAAAATTAATAAAAGTCGATTAATAAAAATTCTTTTGCCTTATTTTCTGTTATTCAAACCTATACTTACAAACAATCCAACACCAAGGCATAATACAAAGTATGCAGCGATGATCAACCAATCTATCCACGCTAAACTGCGCGATTTCTCGTCTAGCGTTGTCATATTTACTGGTTCGTAGGTTTTTCTGGTACGTACTACGTAAGCAGAATCAAAGCTTTGCGTAAATTTCTTTGCAAAACTAGTCGTGAAAGTGTTYCGTTGAGCACGTCGTGACATGGGATGTGGGATCAGTGATAAGCGTTATTTTTGGGATCAGGGATCAGAATTTTTGCCTTTATCGGAATCACAATTAATGGGTTCGATGGGATCACTCAGATTTTGTGATATCACGGATCAAATTTGATGAAGAGACTTTTCGGATCAGGGATTAAAATTTTGRTAAAAAAGAACAGGATCACCAGTAAAAAAAWTATCCMATGTCACTATACCCTGGATCTTGTGTTACATTTTGAACATCGAGCTATCTACACTTTTGCAGCTTTTGCATAATCAATCTCAGTGAATACTAACAGTACTTCAAAAATTCATCACGGGAGAGCTCAGGCCGACATCATCAGGCGAATCTAGTACTATTTCATCTCGATCTATCTACGGACGTCAACAATAATGTCACAGCTAAACAAATTAATAACACTAATAACAAGGCGCTTTTATATACTCGCCTATAACTCGTGCCCTGAAATGCGGATACTTTCTTATCGGCAAAGAAGCTGTTTTCCAAAGTTATGACCAAATGAATACAACGAAGTAAGACGTTGAAAACAGAACGTTGATTGTTCGCATTCAAAAGAGTATGAAAAACCTGTTTTGATGTATGGGAAGTTTTGAGCCAATCAAATCAAAGGGTTCTTTCTATTTAAGCAGAACTGTCCGGCCAGTCCGCTCTATTTAGAGGTATATYATGCTTTTKGTCAACCTTTTTCAGGCATTTCGAGATTTTCTATAGAATAATGGATAGACTTTGAAAATTTGAATTTCCCGACTAAATAGGAATGATATGATAATGACATTTTCTCGGGGTCTGGCCAGCCAGTTCTGACAAATGGAAAGCGCCCAAAGAATCATTCGTTTCCAACCAGAGCCTTCCGTTCATTTTCCATTTTCGGTAAATTTTATCGTATTCTTGAATTTCCATTCTAATTTTACATCTGATTGTTCATAGAGTTTTTACAATTTGTGCAAAATAATATTAAAAGACCCATCTGCATCCAAGAATCTTTGCGATCGCTTGCTTTAATTTGCCAAAMTATGCCAACGACGTTCGGATTTTACGTGAGAAAATTAAAAAAAAAAACTTTAGCCAATCAAAAATAGGCCTTTCATGGCGAAAATACATTGCGTGAAAAACGCACTCGTGCAAACTATTTTCAAATTGAAATTGAATGGTTACCTATAGTACGAATTACCCGCTTTACGTAATGAGGTCGCAAGAACCCTGCGATACGAGTAATAAAATGTTGACTTATTTACAGTTGTTGATATGTTTGTCGTTCAAGTTGTATTCCAGACACAGACTCAGAAATGTCCGGGGTGTACACCATAAGGACATCATTTTTCCCTCGAAAGAGTTTATTCCAAAAGAAAGATAAAAAGTTATGATAAAGAGACGCATCAATAACCTAGAAATGAAAAAAATAAGCGTTACTACTATACAAAAAGATACATTCAGATGTKTCATTCTCTTCAATTTAAAAATGGGATGTTCTTATCGCATATAGCAATCTATATATAAACAATCAATGCTATACCCCCCCTCTCCCGACTCATCTAATGCATGCTCCGAATAGTCAAAGTTGATGGTCCTTAGCGCTAGCAGGTCATGAACARACAATGATCTACAATGTGTTGCAATGTGGTTAGAAGGTTGTAAGTAACGGGGGCGGATCCCAGCCGGATCACACGGGTTGTGGGGAAAGAGGGAAACTAACTCCCTTAAAACTAGGTAGGGGTGCTCGATGGAATTTCTGAGGGTCGAAGTCGAAATTTACTCTGGAACATCTGGAACAGAGCATCAATTTCACCGATTTTTCTCTGGAACAGGGTCAGCGTTTAATTCCGGAATTATCGATGCTGGGTAAAAATTCACGGGGTAAAAATTCGGTCACACGCAGGCTAGTGCTGTATTTTACTGTGGAACAGGGTATCGTTTTCAGCGATTCTACTCTGGAACGGGGTATAGTTTTCAGCGATTTTACTCTGGAACAGGGTATAGTTTTCAGCGATTTCACTCTGGAACAGGCTATCGTTTTCAGCGATTTCACTCTGGAACAGGGTCAGGGTTTTGAGGTCCCAGCGGCACAGTCCCACCCAAGTTTGGAGAGAGTACTCCCCCCCTCCCCCCTCCCGAGCGCCGGGGCAAGACGTACCTCAAGCATGAGACATGGTATTGCTTTCTGTATGTCGTTGTCTGGGTTTATGGAGTACAATTTATAAGAAACCCTTATGGACAATTCAACAAACTTGCACAGGTTATCCAAAAGGAACATGACAAGCGTCACGTGATACAAGCTGATGGTAACCCAAGAGTACTCTGGTCGATATGGCGGATATGTAAAGTTCAATTGAAAAATCAAACACAGTGTCAAAAACTTTGACATTATCACACAACCTTCAACAGCTGAGGAACCCTTTGCAAGATTTTGGGTCTCGATTAAGGCATCGTAAAGCATGACTAAGATGAAGATCATGTTCATATACCAGAAGTATGGTTTAACCAACAATGTTTGCAT